GAAAAACAGTGTAAGACGTCAATAAATCATGAGAAATTGTCAGGCAGACTCAAATTGAGGTATATGCTGCAAAATAAACTACTATTTCTCTTCAAAAGTTCCAAGAGCAGGAAAGATGAGGAAAATCTGAACAACTGTTGCTCAGTATTGGGGAAACTCCGGCAACTAAGTGGTGTGAGAAGAGTACTAGAGTACTAGAAAAAGGACATTGGTTAAAACCTGTGGAAATCTGAGTAGGGTCTGCTCTTTAGTTAACAGTACTGTTTCATTGTTAAAGTCCTGATTTTGATCATTATATATGCATAGTATATGTTAAATATGCGCACCATACATCTGACAAGGGACTAAAATCCACGATCTACAAAGAACTCATAAAACTCAACAAAATTAAAAAAATGGGCAGAAAAGTTAAGTAGACACTGTTCCAAAGAAGACATTCAGAATAGTCAACAGGTATATGGGAAATCTCAAAAACTTTACCATCAAAAACACAAATCAAAACTAGTATCAGTAAGCAAGTGTTGCCATTGATATAGAGGAAAAGGAAACTTGGTACATTGTTAGGAGGGAAGTAGACTGGTCAAGCCCCTTTGGAAAACAGTATGAAAGTTTCTCAAAATATGAAAAATAGATCTATCTTAAGATGCAGCCAATTCTCTCCTAGGTATCTAGCCAAAGAACACACCAAAAACATAATTTGACGGGATATATGCACTTCTATGTTTACAACAGCCAACTTATGGAAATAAGTGTCAAAGGACAGAGGAGTGGATCAGACAAATGTGATACACACCAACTCAACCTCTCTCTCTTTCTCTCTCTCTCTCACTCACATCACACACAGCTATAAAAAAGATGAATTTTTGCCACTTGTGAAATACTGAGCGAAATAAGTCAGAAAGAGAAAGACAAATACTGCATGTGCTATATAGAAGTACAGAACAAAGGTCAGACAGGACAAAATCAATAACAAACTTTTGACATCTGACCGCAAAGCTGAGGCAACCAAAAGATGGTAAGGTAGGAGTAGAAGTGAAAGGGGAATAGGCCCTTCCTGGCAGTGCAACGAGTTTAAGGGCAGCGATACGCAGCTAGCTGCAGCTGAGTTCCATCCCTGGGCTGACCCACATGACACAGCAGACCTCTCCTGTCTCACCCGCTGCTCCCCTCAGCAGTGTACTTTGTCAGTCTTCCTGTTCTGCTCCCCACTCTGTCTCTAGTGAATCCTTTCACTGCCCCTGCACCTCTGGCCTGTGCCCAGTTCTGTATGCATAAATAAATATATCTTTTGTAAAAAGAATGAAAGGGGGATCAGTGGAACATGGTGGAGTATTATGGGATGGTAGTGAATGGGGTATTGCAACATGCACCTGAGGAGGTATAATCCTATACTTCCTAATCATACATAGTTGGTAAAGCAATGTTACTTCAATTAAAACAAAATCTCATTGTGAAGGTCAGAATTTGGGGAGAACTTTTCCAGAATATCTAGAGGTGTATCCCTGCTCTAGTCTTCAACATTAATTCTTTAATAAACTCTTTCTTTTTCTTGGCTCAATTAATGTAAGTCACCCCAACAATATTCATTATTTGGTCCTCAAAATTTAGATTCCCAGCTCCTATTCTATCATATTCTTTCCTGACACAACTCTCTTTTATAGACTTTCCCACACCTCACAAGATTTTTCCATAGCCATTAACTGTGCAGCCAATTACATTTTAATCATTATATGTACATAATATATTTTTAAAATATGCTCACCATACAGCTGACAAGGGGCTAATGTGACCTACAAGGAACTCAATCGCCAAAAGCAGTGTTTACAAAAGCCTGGTCTCCACTGACCTCCTGGGCAGTGGAAAATATCTGAAATACTTTTTAAAAATATATATATAATAGTTTATTTTTACATCATTTTGTGCATTTTTCCACCTCAGTTGCAATCCCCTTGGGCTTTCCATTACCAAATCACCCATGTGCCATCCCCATAGTCCAGTACATTTCCCTCCTGCCACTGTTTTTGATCCCATTCCCCACTTCACCCCCACAAAATGTCTCTGGTATATAGCTGTTCATCATTATTATTTTCTTGTCTGTTCTGTTATATTCCTGCTATGAGAGAAACCATCCGGTATTTTTCCTTTTCTTTCTGGCTTACTTCACTAAGCATGATCTTGAAAATATCTGAAATACTTGAAGGAGCTTTCATTGATCACCCTGAAGTGAAACATTGTTGATTTGCCATTTTCTTTTTCATTTTTTTTCTTACAGGGAACTCTTGGGGACTGGAGAACAGTGGGCGTGGCTTTTCTCTATTGGATCCCACTATCTCTGAGGCAAAGGGTTGTGACAATATTAAAGCAGTCACCTCAGGAGCTGAGCAGAGAGAGCTTTCCTGGACTTTCATTAGGTTAGTACTGACTTTACATTTCTTTATAAAAATTTTCATGCCTGTTTCACATGCCAAATCTTTTAAAATGTGTTTATTCTTATTGTGTGGGTAATTTGTCTTCCTCCTATATCTTCGTGTGCGTACTTGTTCTTGTTAGAAAGCACAGCATCATCTTCTGCCAATCAGAGTTTGGATTTACACTTAGCAGTTGATTTCACAGGCAATAGCTTGTTGTTCCAATGAGTGACTTTGTGATTGAATACGAAATATTATGGGTTTTTTTTGCTCTCTCATTCTTCCTCCTTCTCCTGCTCCTCTTCCTATTCCACTCCCCGCCCTCCAACCCCCTCACCCCACAATTCTCCTTTTTTCTTCTATATTTTGGGGACAAATAAGAAGTCCCTGCTTTCTTACAAAGGTTCAAGCTTGCAAGTAAATCTAAATGTATATTAGGACAGAACTCAAGTGCATCTGGATTTACTTCTTAGGTAAACTTTGGAGCAATAATGCCTTTCTCTGATCAGTCATGCACTTCGTCCAGCCAAGTGCTTGCAAATTCTTTCTACTTGCCATGGTAAATATCTACTAAATAACCAGCGTCTACTGCTTTGGTAATTATTTATAATCAGGTTTTTAAATTTTACTAATGTTATTATCTCAGCTTATTATGTTATTATGCTATGTTGCTATATTATGAAATGGCAAGTCCTATAAGAAACAGGTGTGTCTTTTGAGATACCTAACTATACCCTCTCCGATGGACTAAACATTTAGCTAGTTGTATAGAACAAATTATCTGCTTCTGGGAGCCCACAATTTAGTGGGGACCCTACAAACTTCTGCAAGCTGTAAAAATTCAATAATGAGATGTAATAGGAAGAATTAATGAGTCTGACAGTCAGAAAAGCTAGGACCTAATGTAGACTTTATCAATAGTAAGCCAGCTAGTAAATTGCTCTTTAGGTTGCAACATATTAGTTATGTCCCTGAAACTTCTAAAGGGCCTCCCCTACTTTTCAGATGTCTTCTAGCTCTGTATCTTGGGAAGTCAGAGACACAGCAGGATATACCAGTGGAGCATAGAGTTAGCTTTTAGAAGCACATGAAGTCCCCAAGACAGATGCAACATAATAAGAATCAGTAATTCCTTGGAATAATCACCAACATAAAAAGAATAAAGGTCTGATGCAGGAAAGTCTCAGAATTTCAGTGAGACCATGTGACACGTCACAGTGGTAGGGCAGCTTCAAGGGCAAAGCAGAGTTCACAGGAAGAAATTAAAGCTGGC